TGCTGCTGCTGCTGCTGCTGCTGCTGCTGCTGCTGCTTCTGTGGGGTTTCTTGCAGCAGCAAATGAGAAGGAGGAGAAATCATCTCCCACATAAAGACGCCGCCGCATAACTCCAGCAGCACGCAGCCAATGCCCCAAATGTCTGCCTATTAAACAAAAAGGAGACAGATAAACATATAAAAGGAGACAGATAAACATATAAAAGGAGACAGATAAACAAATAAAAGGAGACAGATAAACAAATAAAAGGAGACAGATAAACATATAAAAGGAGACAGATAAACATATAAAAGGAGAAAGATAAACATATAAAAGGAGACAGATGAACAGGTAAAAGGAGACAGATAAGGAGATACATGAACACATAAAAGGAGACAGATAAACAGATAAAAGGAGACATCAAAAGAATTAAAAGGAGACAAACTGCAGCAGCAAACAGAGACATACAGCAGGGGCAAGAAGAGAGAGACAGAAAGAGACAAACCAGTAGACAAACAAAACGACAAAAGGAGACAGAGAGGAGACTAAAAGGAGACAGCAAGAAGACAGCGAGGAGACAAAGAAGAGACAGAGAGGAGACAGCCCACACAAGCAGCAAATGACGCAAAGGGAGACAAACAAAGAGACAAAAAAGGAGACAGGAGGAGACAGAGAGGAGACAAAAAAGAAATTGAAAGAGACAAAGAGGAGACACAAAGAGACAAAAGGAGACAAAAGGAGACAAAAGGGGACAAACGGAGACAGCCAGAGACAATGGGATAAAACCAAAGGAGAAAAGAGACAGACAAATGAAGAGACAAAGAGGAGACAAAGCAAAGACAAAAGGAGACAAAGCAGAGACAAAAGGGGGCAAAGAAGAGACAGAGAAGAGACAAAAAGAGACGAACAAAACGACAAAAGGAGACAAAAAGGAGACACAGAAGAGACAAAAAGGAGACAACGCAGAGACAAAGAAGAGACAAAGAAGAGACAGAGAAGCGACAGAGAAGGGACAGGGAAGAGACAAAGAAGAGACAAAGAAGAGACAGAGAAGAGACAAAAAGGAGACAAAGAAGAGACAAAAAGGAGACAGTTTGTTTTACCGGCTTCCCGTACGTCTCTCCTAAGAGAACCTCCGGGGCCATGTAGCAGTC